GGATATCATCAGCAAAAAACATACACCAAGATACTTTTCCAAGTCTTCTACTTAAGCTATTACTACTAAAATGGCATTCAATGTATTTAGTTTTAGGTCTACTCAAACAAATACCTTTAGACTCCAATGTAGACTTCCATAATTCAAGTTTTTCGTCAAACTCTTTCTCTAGTCTCATCCACAATAAGGATATCATCAGCAAAAAACATACACCAAGATACACCATCCTGCAAATGTCCAGTAAGAGCATCCATAACTAAAGAAAAAAGATATGGGCTTAAATTCGATCTTTGATGTAATCCAACTGAAATGGGAAAATACTTTGTCAATCCTCATATTGTTCGAACACAAGTAACGACTCTAGAAAACATATATTTAATGACTTAAATATAAGTCATATCAACACCTTTTTTTTTAGAACTTTCCAAAGAATTTCTCTTGGAAAATTATCTTAAGCTTTTTTTGGATCAATAAAAGTCATGTAAATCCTCCTTACTCTCTCTGTACTTCTTCATCAAACCTCTCAATAAATGTATAGCTTTTATAGTAAACTTGCATGACATAAATCCAAACTAATTATGAGAAATCTTTTAATCATGTCTTAATTTATGCTTAATTACCCTATCATAATTTTCAAATATGGCACATTAACTTAATTTCTCTATTATTTACACACTCTTGTGCATCATCTTTATTCTTAAAAATAGGGGCCAAAATTCACTTCCTCCTCTTCTCATGCATCTTTTTAGTTGTTAAAATAATTTTAAAAAGTTTAGTAAGCCAAAAAACTCCCAGATCTCCTAGATATTTTCACACTTCAATTGGGATATCATTAGGTTTTACCGATTTTTCACCCTAATTTTCTTTAAAGTCTCATTAACTTCCTTTTTACTAATGCGATAATAAAAATAATAGTTTTATTATTATTATTATTAACGCGATAATAAAAATAATAGTTTTATTATTATTATTATTAACGATATTAAAATCACTAAGGTCGATCGTATTTTTAGAGATTTGATTAGAAAGTTTATTAAAATAACTCACCCACCTATATTTAATATATTCCTCTAAGAAAAAATATATTTTAATTTTCATCTTTAGTACACTTTACTTGAATTAAATCCTTACATTTTTTTCTCTTTGTTTTACTAGTTTAAACATATATTGTCCACCCTCTTTAGCATTTAATATATTATAAAAATCATTAAAATCAGAATTTTTAGTTTCGTAAATTAATCTCTTAGACTTCCTATGAGTTACCTTATATTTTTTGCAATTCTGTAAGCTTTTACATTTCAATCATTTTTTATAACAGCTTATATTTTATCTTTTCTTCCACATTTTCCACCATCAATTATTTTTATTTATTAAAATTTTTTCTATTGGTTCTCTAAGTACTTATTTAGTCACTTGTTTAATAGTGTTTTTATTTTATCCCACATAGAATTAATTTCTTTATGAACATTTCAAATCTTAAAATTTTGAAGTTTACTCATAAAAGTAATTTTTTTTTGTCTTTTAGGTGACCTTAACTAATTCTATGATAATGTTTTATTATATCTTTTAACTTACAACTCTTCATCTTAAAATTCAGAACTAATAATCGATTTTGAGTACTTAAATTTTTACTTGGATTGACCTTATAATTTTTATATTTTGAACGGTCATTTTTTTATAAAAAAATAATAAATTTATGTTTTATTAGATCCATTCTTACAAGTAATAATATGTTTATCTCTTTTTTTAAATAAAATATTTGCAATAATAAAATCATAAGTTCAAGCAAAATCTAATATGATTCTACCTTCTTATTAGTCACTCTAAAACCGCAGCTATCATGACTATTTTTAAAATCTTCTTTCACTCTATCAACATGTGCATTTCAATCTCGTCCAATAAAATTTTTTTCTTCAAGATATGTCATTTGTATTAATTCATCTAGGTTATTCCAAAATTTTTTTTTGAGCTTATGTATAAACCGACTTGAGGAGCATAAACACTTATAATATTAAACTTTTCAGTATCAACAATAATTTTTAGAGTTATAATTCTATCTCCAATTCTATTAATTTTTACATTATCTTTCAAAATTTTATTTATTATTACACCTATATTTTTAGTGCGACTCTTACCTGAATACCAAAGTTTAAAACCTAAATTATCATTCCCCTTAGTCTTTTCTCTAACTCTTTTAGTTTCTTGAGTGCGATAGATATTTACTTTTCCATGAACTATAAATCTACTAATTTTATTAATTTACCAGTGAGAGTGCCTATATTTCAACATTTTATCATATTATTAGTTTCATGGATTAACTTCTTAGCTCGCATTCTTCCATAATGTGAGATCATTTGCTTATTTGATACTACACCATGATGTAAGTATAGCGGCCCTTGCACACTTTTCACTGTTTCCAGGTCATACATCTCATTGCTTCCAGAGAACGCCATAGCATTTATACAATTGTTTAAGTGATTTATGTTTCTTATTTTATCCCACATAGAATTAGTTTCTTTATGAACATTTTAAATCTTAAAATTTTGAAGTTTACTCATAAAAGTAATTTTTTTTTGTCTTTTAGGTGACCTTAACTAATTCTATGATAATGTTTTATTATATCTTTTAACTTACAACTCTTCATCTTAAAATTCAGAACTAATAATCGATTTTGAGTACTTAAATTTTTACTTGGATTGACCTTATAATTTTTATATTTTGAACGGTCATTTTTTTATAAAAAAATAATAAATTTATGTTTTATTAGATCCATTCTTACAAGTAATAATATGTTTATCTCTTTTTTTAAATAAAATATTTGCAATAATAAAATCATAAGTTCAAGCAAAATCTAATATGATTCTACCTTCTTATTAGTCACTCTAAAACCGCAGCTATCATGACTATTTTTAAAATCTTCTTTCACTCTATCAACATGTGCATTTCAATCTCGTCCAATAAAATTTTTTTCTTCAAGATATGTCATTTGTATTAATTCATCTAGGTTATTCCAAAAATTTTTTTTGAGCTTATATATAAACCTACTTGAGGAGCATAAACACTTATAATATTAAACTTTTCAGTATCAACAATAATTTTTAGAGTTATAATTCTATCTCCAATTCTATTAATTTTTACATTATCTTTCAAAATTTTATTTATTATTACACCTATATTTTTAGTGCGACTCTTACCTGAATACCAAAGTTTAAAACCTAAATTATCATTCCCCTTAGTCTTTTCTCTAACTCTTTTAGTTTCTTGAGTGCGATAGATATTTACTTTTCCATGAACTATAAATCTACTAATTTTATTAATTTACCAGTGAGAGTGCCTATATTTCAACATTTTATCATATTATTAGTTTCATGGATTAACTTCTTAGCTCGCATTCTTCCATAATGTGAGATCATTTGCTTATTTGATACTACACCATGATGTAAGTATAGCGGCCCTTGCACACTTTTCACTGTTTTCAGGTCATACATCTCATCGCTTCTAGAGAACGTCATAGCATTTATACAATTGTTTAAGTGATTTATGTTATGATTTTTTGAGAAAAATTTTATGCTAGTTGTCGACTATCTAATTCAACTTTTATTTTTTGCATCTGGGGCTTGGGACTCGGCAATGAGAGTGTTATTTTCTTGTAAAATAAAATAAAAAGAAAAAACTTGAGCTAAGATAATACTCGAACTGTTGGTTATTTCTTAGATTTTCTAATAAATAATTTTCTCTTCTTAGAATTAGATGTTTCTCTTACCATGATTGTTTTAAAGACATTTATAAGAAGATGGTGCACGTTTTGATTTTTTTGTAGGCCATGATGAAAGCTTGCACACTTTCATCTAGGATCAACTAGTGTAGCAGCTTTTCATTATTTTGGATTTAGAATTAATAGTAAAAAAATAATAATAATTTTACCATCCCACAGTTTATTCCCGACTAGAAAATTTTAAGTCTCAAGCTAGGTCGTAACTTTAGTCTTATGAAATTTTGTAGTAAGGTTTGGACTTTATCCAGTGACGTATTTGAATCCAATAAAACTCATCTATGAACAAATTTATTATCAATGAGTCCAAATTATGAAATACAAAATTCTAAAATAAAATAAAAATCATTGATTAGTTAATGTGCTCATCTCAAAGCACAACACGTCTTTTTGGGCATGCGTATTTCCATCGACTAATTAGGCGAGCCGGCTACGAGTGCAGGCTCTGGTAAGAAATCCTAATTGAGGGAGCTATGTTAAGTAGGTGAGGTTAGGATCTGCTGCTCTCCGAGAATTAATGGTTTGCAGGGGATTCTTGAACTGAGGACATGCTGTGGCCTTGGTGTCATTTCTGTGAGGCTAACAATAGATATTTAGGTGTTCAACAATGTGAAGGCTGTGGTCAATAAGTGTGGTGGTCAAATGCTGATGGTAGAAGCCGTTTAGAGATGTAAATTGAAGTTGAGATTAGAGGCTAAAAGGGGTTTCTTAATGATTCAAGGATACTAATAAAAGTTTGTTATTTTTAAAATTTTTAAATACGATAAAGAATTGTTTTATTATTGTTTTTTCTGCATAGGTGGGAGATTTAAGGGCTGTTTCTGTTTTCTTTTGATATTGAACAGGGAGAAAAATGAAAAAAGAGATTTAGGTGATAAAACAATAAGAAATGGATACTAGAGACATAGAATAAAGAGTTAGAAAATATATGATTGCAAATATTTGTATTTTAACTGCAATTTTGGACTAGTTGAATATGAATATGAAGGTTGATGTTGGAGAATATTTTCAAACCAAAGAAATCTTTTTCTCGTCTTCGGTTTTTTTTTTTGTTTCTTTTTGACCTTTTTATTTTGATGTTTGCATACAAAACATTTTCATGTTTTTTCCCCAACACCAGGCAATTTCAAGGACATTTGCATGTAGTACTTTTTGTAATCTTTAGTAGAGAAACTCATTAATGCTTATTTCCTTGGAATGTTTCAACTTAAGTTGAATGTTGAAATAGTGTTGGCTGCATGGATGAGGCTTAAATATCCACATATTGCTATCGGTGCACTTGCTTCCTCAGCACCCATTCTGCAATTTGAAGATATTGCCCCTCCGGAGTCATTCTATGATATTGTTTCCAGTGATTTCAAGGTCTGAACATTCATAATTAGTTTAAGATGCATTCAGATATTGATACTTTAATTACCAATCTTTATTTTTCAGCGTGAAAGTAGGAATTGCTTTGATGTTATAAAGAACTCTTGGGATGTGTTGGAAGCTCAAGGGAAATACGATGATGGCCTTGTTAAACTTAGCAGAAAATTTAGGCTATGCAAGTAAGGTGTTTTATACATATTTAAGAGATCACCTTTTACTTATGGCGCAGACTTGCTTTTCTCGGGTGTCCTTCATTTTCTTCAATATATTCATTTGTTTATCCGTTGGTTACTTTTCTACTTAATACCAGGGAACTTAACAACACACAACAGCTTTCAGACTGGTTAGATTCTGCATATAGCTATCTTGCAATGGTGGATTATCCATATGCCTCCAACTTTCTTATGCCTTTGCCGGCATACCCCATTAAGGAGGTATTTTTTTTCTTGTAGTTAGTTACTAATTAGTTTTTGAATCGCTTTGAATAATGGACTATTGACAGTTACATACAAAAAGAAGCAACATAACATCTTGCATATTGCTATATTTGAAATTGTTCAAATTGTGAATTATTTTTCTTGTTACATTTTGAGGAGTCTTCTCTTTTTTCCTTTTGTTTTTACCTATTCTCTCGGTAAGGAAAAAAATAATAACCTTAGTATTGATTACATGATGTATGTATCACAGATTATGAATTATATTTAATCTTTTGCTGCAAAACTATTTTCCTTCATAAAAATGGGCTTCTTAACTTTTAACTGATATGTGTAGATAATTTTTGTTTCAAAAGGTCATGTCTTAGTAACTATACAAAATTGACTTGATAGATAAGAGTAGTAAAGATGAACGGATACCGAGCTAATATATTATGAAGAACTAGAATCACAATCTGACTAGATGGCCCCAGCCTATAAAGTCATGATCATCATCATGAGTTTATTAAACGCAACTTTTGTTGATGGCCCTAGCCTATAAAGTCATGATCATCATCATGAGTTTATTGATTTAAATATGCTTTTTGTTTTCAAAAGCTAATGTAAGGCCTCTTCTTTGCTAGAATTGTTTGCTCGAGCCTCACAAAAATCAACATCTATGGGGACCATAGAAGCTTATGTGGTCACTGATATTTTTTCCTTTTGCAAGCTTGCTTTTTTGAGCTTGTAGAAGTTGTGTTTGTCATGCGGTGCAACTTTGCGATATTTGAGCTAGGAGTGTAAACAAGTCGAGTCGAGCCTAGCTCGAGCCACCATTGGATTGAACTTGAGTTTGATTAATTTTATCGAGCTCGAGCTTAAGTCTATAAGTTTGAGCCAACTTGTTTATCATAAAAGAGAGAAAATAATATTAATTTAAGGTGGTGTTATAATAAAATGACCTATAGAATGAGCGGTTAAAAAATAAATAAGAAGAAATCACTTAACATATAATACAAAATATTTTTTTTTAACATTTTATATACTTTTAAAGATAAATCTTCAAATTTAATATATTTTGAATGTATTTTATACTAATATTTTTTAAAAGAACTGGCTCACTAACGAGTCTAGTCGGGGCTAGCTTGAGTTTTGCTTGTTAGCTCATCGAACTCCATTCACAAGCCGCTTATCGAGTCGAGCTCAAGCAGCCTTTGAGTCGGTTTGACTCACTTACACCCCTAATTTGAGCTTTATAAGCAATCATATGATTAATGTTGACCATAGTGTACTTTTTTCCCTTTTGCTTTTTTTTCCGATGATACCATTCTAGGGGACCTAGATAGTGCTTTGAAAGCTGGTTTTGCAGGGAGGTGGTTGTGGAATGGCAAGGGGAAGATAATATGCAAGTTTTAACAAAGTTTGGACGGGATAAATATCACTCGACAGCGTTCAGACGGAGTTAACCTACAAAACATGCTATGGGACAGCAGAGTCGAGTTGTTCAGCTGCTGTCCAGACGGATGGCAGTGGTCGAACGGAGGTACGGCTTGGTACAGGCGATGAGAAGGTTTGACCACCTCAAACCACTTGCAAAATAAATGGATACAACACTCCTTATATATTCAATCAAAGAATACAATCTCTCCAAATACCAAAAAAAACTGTAATATCAAAGTAGCCAAACAACATATAAATAGACTCTTAATAGAATTAACCTTGATTAGAAATAAGAAAACAGGAAAGAAAGAAAAAAAATTATACAAAATATTGCATAAATTGGCTCAGGACAGCATCCCGTGATCGCAGGAGGAACCACATCTTGCGATAAACGTGGGATCCTGCATTGCGTTCCCAAAGAAAAGCTTCCCACGTCACTCTCTCTGGCTCGAAGAGGCTTCTTCTAATCTTTGAAGGACCTGTATCCCAATTTCGGACTTTCTTTCCAGAAAATCATCAAAAAAGATTTCTAAAGCTATAGTCCACCATTCCTGTATGGCCATCTAACTATGGGGGTACTGCTAAACTGAACTGGAACTTAACAGCCAACTTATTTCATTGGGTCTTCTGATAATTGCTAAAAAACTTCTTTTTTTTATTTGAAGTGAGAACATGCTTGATTGCTCTCAGTTGTAAATTGAAGATCAGAGAACCTTGAAACTCATCTAGTGAAGGCCGCACTGCCTTAAACATTGTCTCGTCCACAACTTGATCTTCTAGCATCACTAAGGCCAATTCCATTGGTGCCTCTCTCATAGAGAGTAGAAATGTGGCACAGGCCACTAAAGTTTCTATATCTGTTAGAGTTCCAATCATGATCGACTTCTTAATGTTTAAAGTATAATATGCTTTCCATCCATGATAAGCGAGTCGATATTTTTGTGTTCATCATGAACTATACCCTTATCATATTAACACAGTCGGCCCAAAAGAATGTGACGTGCATCCATAAGCACAACATCATATCAAATATGATCTTGCAACTTATGTCTTATAGAAAACTACATGAGGCAACACTAATCTTACTCCCATTCTTCAATTGGGTTAGGAAATATGGCTAAGAATGTTTCTGAGTAGTGAGACTCAAATTATACACCAGCTGTGTAGAGGCTACATTGTCACAACTTCCTCCACTGATTATGAGGCTTCAAGCATTTTCCTTCACGGTACAACGGGTAAAAAATATGATATGGCGGAGCCACTATTGCTTTCTTATGGACTCAGTCTGAAGGATCTGTCGAATTATTAGCATCTCTCCCTCCCTCATTTACGGGTAGATATTAATCTTTTCCATTCTCCTCTCAGTATTCTCCCACAGTCTCCTCCATTACACCCTGTTCAATGGAAGATATCACACTTTTGTTCGGATAATCAGATGTATTGTGCCCAAACTTATATCAGAACTAGTAGGAAAAATAATGACAACACAAAAAAATAAACTTTTATTAATAGGAAAATAGGGGTTACAACACAACGCGACAGTACAGAACATAGACGACAAAAGCAGGCACTCCTAAATATCTCAATGGGTGTTGGAGATCGGCTAGAGGGATAAGGATGATTGGAAGGGATTAAAGCAGCCACGGGAGGCGGGTGGCAGCGAAGGGAAGGTGCAGAATTATAGGGACAATAAGTAGGGAGGGTTGTAGTTGGACGACAATGGGCAGCGGGGTGATTGGGAAGAGTTTGGAAGGAGGTCAAAATGCTTGAAAACAATAATATCCCGTGGGAAAGGGGATGGCAGGGTGTTATTGACAGAGGGAGGGTTCGATGGATAAGAAGTGGAGAGGAGAAGGTTTGGGGAAGGTTAAAGTGAATGATACAATCACCACCTCAGAGAGGATACTGTCGAAGCACCACCACCTCCTCAGATACAACCCATAAGGGGAAAAAAACTCCACACAGGAATCTGAGAACAAACACAATAAAAAATTGAGTCCCCACACATAGGACAATAACTTATGGGCTCTCCCTGGACGGAGGAAGCTTCTATACAAAAGAAGAGAGGCGGAAGAGTCCAGAAAAAAAAAAAACCCTTCCAAAAATTCCCACAAGTGGCGCCCCCTCAGATCGCGAAAGTTTGAAATCCCCCCAGCCTTCGCGTGTGTTTCTCTCAATGTCGCTGTCCATCGTGGGGTTCCCGCATCCGCGAATTTTCGCGTGGCTTCTAGCCCCGCGGGTTTGAAGCGCCGAAATCCCCCCAGCCTTCGCGTGCGTTTCTCTCAATGTCGTTGTCCATCGTGGGGTTCCCGCATCCGCGAAGTTTCGCGTGGCTTCTAGCCCCGCGGGTTTGAAGCGCCCCACATCGGAGCACCTTTAGCGCCTACACTCGAGCGCTGCTTCTAGTGCCCGCATCACAAAATCATGACACTAGAAACATTTTCTTGCGGGGATGGATTTGAAAACAATGGCGGTCTCTACTGTTTCTCCATTGTTTATGGGTTCCTCCTCTGGTTCGATTGGGTTGGGTTGGGTTGGCTTGGGTGTTGCATTGGGTGTGCCCTTGCTACCCGATTTGCTGGTTAAACTCCATAGATGCTCCATTTGAAGGATGGTGTGAACTTACACTTCTGTGTTTTCTCTCCAAATTCAAGGCTAGAGTTTGAATGTTCTGTATATCTAATAAAGCTGCAATTGTACCACATGTCAATAGATGGTCTCAGTCCTCTCAAATATCGAACTATATTGTTCTCCTTTGGCTTTCTTAGCCTACATTTCAACATAAGATGCTCGAACTCAATTGTGTACTCATCTATTGAGAGAACTTGTTGTAAATGTTGAAGTCTCAAGAACATGTCTGATTGTTGTGAATTGGTAGATACTTGTGTTGCATCTATTGTTTCATATTGGACAAAATAGTGATTTTGTTTCTCCCTTCTTGCTATTGAAGATGTTTCAGGCTCTCCCATTATGGAGACGTGCTCTTCTTTAACTTAATGGTGGCTAGTTTTATTATTTTATCTGGTGAGATGTCCTGGTACTCAAAGACATTCTACTGTCTGGAGTCGCTCAGTGAATTCATTTGGATCCATGCGACCGTCACAACCTAGAAAATCAATCTTCATTCCAATTTTCTGGCTTATCTAATATTTTATGTCAAATCGTTGGGCACTGATTCTCATTACTAAAAACTTTCTTCATCCTCTCAATCTGGTGAGTCATTGTTGTATCAATGGGTGACCTCACCAGATTGTCTCCTCTCGAAGCCTGCAAGTCTCTATTGTAGTTTGAGGATTTCTTATTGTATGTCCTTCATAACAAGTTTTTGGACACTTCTTTGCAGATTTCTCTTAGGCAACATTGTATTTTTTTTCTCCCAAACAGGTTTATGGCAGATTTAGGATTGTAAATCAAGGTTGGTTTGGGCTTAGGTTTTGGTAGTAGATATCGGGATGAAATTTTGGTGGAGGTGAAAATTTTAGATTTTGAAAATTTAGGGTTAGAGCTAGGAATTACAGTGGGGATCATTTATGTATGATGGGATTTTTTTTTTTTTTTTTGAATTTTGGATTGGGATAAGAATGACAAAAACCTTAAAATTTAGGATTTGCATGGCTCTAATACTATATGATGCTAGTCTAGAGCGCCTAAAGGGTATTTTTGAAAGCTAGTTTTGCAGGGAGGTGGTTGTGAAATGACGAGGGGAAGAAAATATGCGAGTTTGACTGGGGCGGCATTTGGGTGGAGATAAATAACAAACCCTGCTATGGGACAAGCATAATCAAACGGTTGTTGTGCAGATGGATGGCAGCAGTCGAACGGAGGTACAACGAGGTATGGGCAATGAGGAAGTTTCACCACCTGTTCCTAAGCAAGATATAGGCACACCGCTTGCAAAAAAAGGGATGCAACACTCTTTAGATCATAAATCAGATAATACAACCTCTCCAAACACTAGAAACAAAAACTGAAATCGCAAAACAGTCAAACAACACAGTAACTAGACTCCTAATAGAAATTACCCTAGTTTGAAATAAGAAATATGAAATAAACAAAAATGGAAACAAAAATTTTTGCATAAATTGGCCCCGGACTGCATTCGGGTTGGGATGGTGTCTCACGATCGCCGGAGGAACCACAATCTCTTAGTAAATGAAGGATACCGTGTCGCATCCCTGAAGAAATGTGTCCCGCGTCTTCCTAGCTCACAGAAGATTTTTGTGTAAGCCCATATTGATCTGCACTTGGTGATCACACTAACTCTTAACGCAGGCTTCAACGAGCTGGAATCATTCCTGGTGCGAACTCTTGAGATTGCTTGCAACGAACAAAATTAGAGAAAATCGTCTTTAGATGGTTTGGTAGAGAAGATGCAATTAATCATTTTACGAGTGGAAGGACTTACAATGGAACGCGCTAGGGAGACCAAAATTTTGGATTATAATGAATTTATACGCCCGCACATCACCTCTCATATTTAGAAGAACTATGTGTAATTTCATCTCTTTTTTTCCCTCACAAGTATACAAGGATTATGTTGTAGAGAAATAGACGGGATTCAATGTTTTGACTAATCCGACATTCTTGTCCTGTGTAACAGTTGTATATTTACCTAGGTGTTTTTGCTCCTAATTTTCTTCCCATTCATTTGCATTGAAGGCTGGCATCCTTTTTTAAATTTCCCCCTTCTTTAGGAGAGAAAAAATTATTGTTCGAACCTACACCTTGAAAGCATCTTGCACGTCTCCTTTAGTAGGCACTAATAGATTTAAATTCCGTAATTCCATCCTCTCTTGCTTCATAGGATGATTTGAAGTTTGCAACTCAGAACTGTCAATTATGCATCCCAATGAAGCCTTTCTTACATAATTTATTCCATTATGTAAAATGAATATATTCGTGATAGGGTTGGTGTAGCTCCTGTGACGGACAAAATTAGAGAAAATCGTCTTTAGATGGTTTGGTCACATTAAACGTTGACCATCTGATGATTCGATTAAGATAGTAGATGTTTTAGATTCGACTTGTGTTAAGAAAGGCAAAGGTAGACCTAAGAAGACTTGGGCTTACTGTATTAAAAATGATCTTAATTTACTAGAAATAAATGAAAATATGACACTAAATAGGATGCAATGGAGAGAAAGGATTCATGTAGCCGACCCCAATAGTGGGATTTAAGGCTTTGTTGTTATTGTTGTTGTTGTATAATTTATTCCATTATGCTTTTTGTTCAGTGTTATTTTAATATTCTACACTATCATTGTCACCATTAGCATCATCACAACTATTTGTTGTTGGCTAGTCATCTTATTGAGTACATGAACGTTTAACTTTTACTGGGGAAACCTCTTTACATTTTTTGCTCCGTTTCTTTTTCTTAATATTATAATCTGTATGCCTTATACATCCTATCTCAGGTTTGCAAAAAAGTTGATGGTTTTCCAGATGGTGCCGACTTTCTGGACCGTATATTTGCTGGAGCAAGCATCTATTACAACTACACAGGATCTGTTGATTGCTTTGACCTTGAAGATGATCCTCATGGGATGAGTGGGTGGGATTGGCAGGTCTTTAGCTGTAACATCATTTTTTGGTCATATGATGCTAAAGTAGCAGTGTAAATGAGTCAAGTTGAGCTCAAGCCACCTTCTGCTTAAGCTTGAGCTTGACTAATTAATCGAGATCAAATTCAAGCTTGAGCCTAATTTTATGAGTTCAATCCGGCTTGTTTATTATGAAAGATTTTTAAAAAAATGAAAAATTGAATGAACAAATAGGAGATAAATAATAATAAATTGTTTGATATAACATTTAAAATATCATTTTTAAATAGTTTTAATAATTTAGAGAATGTATTAAATTTTAATATATTTTGAATATATGTGTATGTTATATTTAAACGAGACACCTCATGAGCTAAAGAGTCGAGTCGAGGCTAGCTTGAGCTTGCCTTGTTAGCTCATCAAGCTCAGCTCACGAGCCACTTACTGAGCCGAGCCAGACCAGCCAACTCATGAGTTAGGTTGACTCAGTTGTAGGCCTAGCTGCATGTGTAGAACAAAGCAAAAAAAAAGATCCATAGTATTGTTTTCTCCTGTTTTCTTTTTAACAGGCTTGTAGCGAGATGGTCATGCCCTTGTCTAGGAGCAAAGAAAATAGCATGTTCCCTGCATACGAATTTAATTACTCTGCCTTTGCGGATGAGTGCAGTCAGAGCTACGGTGTAAAGCCAAGGCCTGCATGGATAACCACAGAATTTGGTGGCCACGTAAGTCTAGAAAAACATAACTTATATATGCTATCTAGATTTACACCTTGCCTATTTGTTACAATTTTCAATTTGTATTTTAATGTTATAAAGAATGTGTGTGTGTGTGTGTGTGTGTGTGTGTGTGTGTGAATTTTAAATTTGTATTTTAATGTTCTAAAGAATGTGTTTGTGTGTGTGCGCGCGCACGCTCACGCGTGTTGTGTGATTTGCATCTTGCCTTGCCTTTTTTTACAATTTCAAATTTGTATTTTAATGTTATAAAGTGTGTGTGTGTGGCGCCTTACCTTTTTTGTTACAATTTTAATTTTGTATTTTAATGTTATAAAGAATGTTTGCATGTGTTGTGTTGTTTGTTGGGCGTGTGCGTGTGTGTTTGTGTTGTGAGCATGCACGCTTGTTGCGTGTGTGGCTCCTTGCCTTTTTTGTTACAATTTTAAATTTCTATTTTCATGCTATATAGAATGTGTGTTGTGAGTGTGTGCGCGGAGACGCCCGCGCGTGTGGAAGGTTGTGCTCAGTGAAGTAAGTTTCTGCAATGTGAGATAGCCTCTAGCTCTATCCTTGTACCCATGATAGGTTGTTAATACAATATTAGAATGTCGAATGGGACCCTATGAAAGCTTTAAGTGCAAAATACATAGTCTTTTCAAATGGATGCCTCATGCACAAAAGGCTCTTGCCATTGTAGCATGATATGGGAAGTTCTATATATGCATTCTTACTCTACGAAGCATCGATTTTCGTATCAGACTGCTAATATATTAGGTCTCATTTGGATGTTTGGGTATGATAAAAAAAAAAAACATGATTTTAAAGGTAAAATCTTCATTTTTCTTGAAGATATCTGTATGGTTGAAAATTCATATTGATTATGATAAAACATAAAAAAATGATGTGACTTTTACTTGATCTAACAGGATATAAGTAAAGTGCTAAAGAAATTTGGGAGTAACATCATATTCTCAAATGGATTGCTGGATCCTTGGAGTGGTGGCGGGTAAAGTGTTCCTTCATTTAAATTGCTGTGGGTTCTGTTTTTATTTATTTTGATACATTCATTATTATTTATTTCTGGTACATGCAGTGTCCTTCAAAACATATCTCATAGCATAGTTGCCCTTGTTACCGAACTGGGTATGATTCTTTCAATGTTTGGTTTCTTAGAATCTTTTAGTAAGAGAAACTGAAATGTTCCCTTATGTTTTAGGTGCACATCATATCGATTTGCGTGCTTCGACGAAGGACGATCCGGAATGGTTGGTCGAGCTCAGGGAAATGGAGATTAAGCTAATCAAGGGCTGGATAGATGACTATTTTCAGGAGAGGGCTTCTTATAGCCTATAGGATTACTTCATGAGGCATTTTGGCTTCTATTCTCCCTAATTCTGAGAAGTAATGTATGTATAATTGACAAGGATTGATGTATATCACTGTAAAACATTAGGGAGATTAGAAGAGGGACCGTTTCTGTGTGATATTATATTTTATCCCAAAGGCTATTAGACGAGTTTCGGTTATTCTTAGGTGTGTTAAATATTTGAGTATAATACCCTACACACGGGGATATTTGAATCTGTGATCTGAGGAGACTTACGACATTCAAATAGGCTTTTTTGAATTGTATTTTTACAAAATATCTCTTTTCTAGATGAATTGTGTTTTACTTTTTTTGTCTTGATTAGTACTGAGTTCCCCCTAGAAAAAATAAAAGAGAAAATTACATATAGAACGCTCAAAACATTACTATTTACAAATCTAACATGCTTTTTCATCCATTTTCCAAATTCTCAATCAAATATCATAAATTGCAATGTTGAGCGTTGTGTATGTAATTATCACAAAAACACATCTCAAGTAAATAATAATAATAAAAAACAGTTTACAATAAGAATAATATATTCATGAGCATGTACAGCCACTATTTATTCCTAATAATCATGGCCATGCTGCATCAGTTAGCAATTCCTGAAGCTATTTTTAATGGAGAGCTTGCGGTTTTGGGGCTGAACTCCTTTCTCAGGCTTTCCTCCAATTGATTGAAGAGCGAATTAAACAAACCTGTGAAAATTCAATAAGTTCATCTACTCGCAACGTTAAATTCAGCCAAACGTAAAAAAGAAGTAGAATTAAATCCAATGCTCCATTAAATCAGATTTTTTCACGTTCCGTCTCTTTTACGACATAAATCTGGATTCACTGAATCTGATTGTGAGGCGGATTTAAAAATTTCTTCCGCTGCCACTCAAAAGCGCATCCCCGTCTCATAGAATGTAGGTTTTACTGGATTTGACAAATTCCATTTAAGGTAGATTGCTGCCAAATACTGCCTACTTCTAAGCAAATAGTTAGACTCAATGTTACCAACATGTGTACACAATTGTACTTGTGTTTTGACCTCTGAAGAAATATTGCGTAGATCAAAGAAGCCATCACATAGTAAGATGGCATATCATACTCGTGAGTGCGTTAAAACATAGCCATCATCGACTCATCTGCAGTCAACGTCTTTGATAAGCATATAATAAATGCATTGACTTGGGGTGAGATTCTCGATGTCTAAAGGCTTGTTTGGGATCATTTTTTCTTTATTTTTAAAAATATAATTGTTGAATGTGTTTTTAACATGTTTTTATTTATTGTTTCTAAAAACAAATAAATATGCTTTTGGGTGTTTCGAGTGTACTAAAAATCAATTAGATCTTAGGGTCTGTTTGAGGCAGCTTATTTGGTGCGGTGGCGTTTTGAAAACGCAGCTGACATGTTTGGGTAAATTACGTTTTGACAGCTTATGTGTTTTCAAAATGCTGAAAACAACGTTTTCACACCGCACATGTCTAGGTGCGGTGGTAGCTTTCTAGCTACGACCTGACTTCTTCAAAAAAATAAAAATTTGTAGTAGTCACCGCACCGTGTTTTTAACATGTTTTTATTTATTGTTTCTAAAAACAAATAAATATGCTTTTGGGTGTTTCGAGTGTACTAAAAATCAATTAGATCTTAGGGTCTGTTTGAGGCAGCTTATTTGGTGCGGTGGCGTTTTGAAAACGCAGCTGACATGTTTGGGTAAATTACGTTTTGACAGCTTATGTGTTTTCAAAATGCTGAAAACAACGTTTTCACACCGCACATGTCTAGGTGCGGTGGTAGCTTTCTAGCTACGACCTGACTTCTTCAAAAAAATAAAAATTTGTAGTAGTCACCGCACCTAGCTTATCGACAGATTATTTTTAATCAGCTTATAAGCAGATTATTCAATAAGCTGCAGCTGCCCCAAACAGACCCTTAATCAAACAGACCAAATATGTTTTATTTTAAATTAAAACATAAATAAAACAAAATAAAAACAAAAATAGAAAAAAAAAAAAAATTATCCCAAACAACCCGCAAGTGATTCAGCCATGGATTGCTACACAACTGCTTTAAGAGCTCGAAACAAAGGGATAACAATCGTTGTCATTTTGATTGATGAGAGATTGTGTGGATTCAGTCTTATCTCCAAAAAATATCATTAGTTATCCTAAATTATACAGGATATGTACTGTTTAAATAATATCTGATGCATGAGAAAATGACAGAAAAACTAACATTAATGCGCTTTAATGGCTTCTTGGAAACATCAGTTGGTTGAAAATTAAACATGAAATAACCGACATAAGAAATTTAAAGTATCAGCCAAATTATCAACTCATGTACATGTAGGCAAGAATCTCGCAATTCATAACAAAAGAAAATATGTGCTTCGAAGTATGGCATACTGAACTTTGGCTCAGCATAAAATGAGAAGATTAAATGTGTTATAGAAATTATCTGAAATCCTCCCAAAGCCATAGTTTGGACATTTTATATAATTAATTCGGTTAATCTTCATGTAGTTCAGAGGGATTATGCAGATCAAATTATATTTTTATGAATGATATAAAAACAAGATGCAAAAAAAAATATGACTGAAATCAGAAGGTCAATTGTAAGTACCTGAAACAGCTGATCTATCTTTTGCCAATGATGACCATCTCACAAGAACTGTACCTGGGATCTGTTCAAGCACCTAAACAACAAACAAGGAAGGCAATCAATGCTGTTAAATTAAAAACGAAGTAATCATTGTGTTGAATGAAATAACGGGGCATACCGAAACATAAAATGCACATCGTGGCTCGGTAGGCATGTTTGATGGTTGATTTTCAGCAGATTTTAAGGAGCTAACATTATTTTCAGGAGCTCTATTAGCTTTGTCCTTGGACAAGGTCACCTAAAAAAGGTAGCAGGTTTCTAAATGAAAAAAAGTATTATGTAAATTGCTGCTTCCAACGAAAACATACCTTCACAGAAAAGGAAGACAGATCAAATTTGCACGAAACTCCCTTATCCAAGAAAAAGGATTCCATTGATTTTAATACTTGAACTGCACCACCTTGACGTTTCAAACCCTGAAGCAAAAAAAGAATAGCCTAATCAGTAGAGAAGAATTTCACAGAAAATCACTCAAGCTAAAACAGAAAAAATGATTGGTGCTGCGAAATAAAAATTTGTGTACTGAAATAAAAAAAAAGGAAATTTTCAGATCAAATGTCTTCAGCATCAATATTTTCCTTTTAAAGCTGAAGGTAAGATTTGATGATTAGATAGGTGAAGAAAATAGGTGGATTAAATCTTAAAAATGGACTGAAAAAGAACTTTAATAATTCTCATTAACTTGCATTAGGAAAAATAATATCTTAAGAAATCAAGGCTAAAAGTTGTTGGAGCAGAAGACAACATGATATTAATCAATATCCATGGAAATAGCAGTAAAAGAGTAATGTTTGCCAAAACAAATACTACTATAGAGATATATTTTTGGTTCATATTTACAGTTTCGACAAACAGCTAACAAAAAATGTAGCAGCAAACTGATACTCACCATTTTAGGCTATTGAATAATAATCAGAATGTATATAATGGTCAAAATCTGCTTCATGTGTACGTCTGATCAAAAATTTGTTTGAAAAGGCTGATCCAAATTTTTTGAACAGTTCCCCAATTAACGAGGAAAACAATTCAAAGCTAAGTAGGACAATCAAAATCACTGTTTCCCTGTCAATATAGATGGTCAAATCAATAGTTTTCATTTTCCAATCATAAAATTGTGATGTCCTCCCATTCATGAACCTAAAATGGGCTATTTCTATCATTCAGTTGGACTTATTGTAATCTTTGTATTGGGTTTTTGGTTTTTGTGTTCTTTGGTGGGGTGTGTCGTATTTTCTTTTTCAAGGAGAGAAACCTTAGGTTTTCTTTTTTGCGTGAGTTGTTGGGGGTGTGTAGTAGGCTTCTCTTGTCTTTTGTTGTAAGTTTTTTGGATGGAATAAAATTCCCTACTAGGATTTCATTAAAAAAAAAAAGATCCTCAAACATCGTCATTGAGACCATCATCCCATCATCATCATTTGCCTTAATATATTTATTTAAGCTTATAAATTATTCTGTTCATTCCAATTACCTTTTGCAGCTGGTCTTACCCATAGTCAACATACATCCTTTCCACAATGTCTACTGATAGGATGTTGTGGAATAATAGCTTGATCCTTTCATAAAGTTATTAAGAACATATAGAAGTGTGTAGGGCTATAAAATAGAGATTTCCCAATTTCAAGTGTAGACAGAAAACTTCTACAGAAAGCAGAATAGTATATAGAAGACTGAAGTAGGAAACAAATTAATTACCATAAATACATAATTACAACAATGAAATATTTCCTAAAAATATGTCCCCTCTAAATAAGGCAATCCATTATATAAGTCAATATTGATTTTGATACATAAAATTGAGTCCGTAGTAATAGCATGATAAGAGCATCCGAAGATTGATCGACATGGGCAATGTGAATGACACCATGTTGAACATGGTTTCAAATATGATGGAAGCTGAAAAAAAATTTATGCCAGAGTAAATAATGAGATTGCTGCAGATAAGAGTCGCACTAATATTATCACAAAAAATAATGGAAGATATGGGAACAAGAGTTAAGTACTGTGAGGAGTAAACATTTTTAAAATAGTTTGGTTGTATGGACAACGATAGATCAATATTATGCTATTTATGAAAGGACAGCAAGCTGGGGTTGAAACTGAGTTGCCCAATGTAAGAACTAGAAGTGGTGTATTCATCCTTACTGTCTGCCCAGTCAATATATGAAACTTCAATAAGTAATAGAAAGGCAGCATGATTAAAAGCAACACCACAATCAATTGTTCCACATCTCCATCACAGCAGTCTCTTGATGACATTTCAATATTTTATGGTTGGCCGATGCATGAAATGTGAGAGGTTGTTGACCACAAAGGAAATATCAAGCTGCATAATACAAATATTGAAGACTACCAACAAGGGTATGCTACTCAATGGGATCCACTGAGTGGAGAGAGTGGGCTAAATGGCAAGTGGTGAAGCACCAAACCTGCACCGGAGAGAGTGGGTTAAATGGCAAGTGGTGCAGCGTGAAACCTGGCACCAATCATATATGTACTAATAGATCACTAATATACCAATTATATTAATAGGTGAGATAAAAGGAGGCACGAAGAAAGTAAAAATAAAGGCTCAAGATCCTTGAGGGTGCATTGTTGGACTAGAATAGCAGTGAATCACTGCACGGTACATTATTGTCATTTGTAAATAGAATTTCATCAACATAAAAAGGAAAATGGATCATGACATCGCCAATGTTAAGGACAAAAGAGAAATGTTTATGTGGGTGTCGGTGAACCTGGAAGTAATAACAAATCAGTAAAACTAATAATACTTGGTACACGGAACTTAATTGAGGCAAAAAATGGCCTAATAAGGCTTTGAGCACCTGAATAGAGTTGTAGCGATTGAAGAATTCTATAGTTGAACTATGAACTTTTCTTAAATAGATAGATAACTTTGAAAAAAAGGAGATGCGAGACAACTCATGTTATTTAAATTCAGAAGATGTACTTTATATATAAAGAAAATGTATTTTCGTGATAAGTCTATAAGTCTATATATATATATATATGATGTTGTCCCGCCGCTTTGCTAGGGTTCCGCCCCATGGCAAACCCTAGCGTTTTTCGGCTTGATCGTCACTGCTGCCCCGATCTCCACTTTCACGCGTCTGTGCTTTGGTGGCGTCCTCTGCGGCAGAGAAGACGCGATGCTGCGTCGTCCCGCAGCGCCGCTCGCCGGAGTTTCGCGGGCCTCCACTGACGCTAGCTCGCCCGCTTGCCTGCGCTCGTCGTTCCTTCGTACGCGACCAGCAACGCAAGGCTCCTTTTGCGCCCTACGACGCAACCGTGGCGTGCGCTGTTTTCACTCCCTGCGAAGAAACCGCGACGTGCGCTGTTTGTGTTGATCAACGGCGTCTGAAATGGCATCAACGCGTTCCTACGCCGCCGCCCTCGCCAGTGATAACCCCGTCTCCGCCCCTCTTTCCAATATGTTTCCACAACGTTATCATGACAATTTTGCACTTGACATTGAAACCAGATTTCTCAAAAAAGCTTCCCGTAAAAACGGCAAACCTGCAATCTTTCTCACTGAGGCAGAGATCTCCACCCTAGATGCGCCCTGCCGACTGTTCTTAGTAGGTAAGTTTATTTATGGAAACCCTAAACTTGAACTAATTCGAAAGGAATTTGAGCAAATGAAACTGAGAGGGGGTTGGAGGATCGGTAAATTGGATGGTTGTCACATTCTCATTCAATTATCAAATGATGAAGACTACACTCATTTGTTTGCGAGAAAACTTCTCCGAATTGAAAATCAGGTGATGAAGGTGTTAAAATGGACGGTGGATTTTGGTGGATTTTGACCCTCGTACTGAACCTCCTACAATTCCTGTTTGGTTGTGTTTCCCAGGTTTGAAGATCCACCTTTTTGATCAATAGCTTCTCTTTGCTTTAGAGATGGTATACGATAAACCCCTCAAAACTGACACGCCTACAGTGAATCTAACTCGACCTTCAGATATTAGAATTTTGATAGAAAGGGATATTAATTTACCTTTTCCTGGGAGAAATATGGATTGGCACACAACATCAGAGATTTTGGCAGCAAGCAGAACTTGAACAAATACCACTTTATTGTACTCACTGTCGTATGTTTGGACATTCTCATTCTCAATGTTATCAGTTGCATCCAAATTTAAAACCTTCAAGTAAAAACGCTTCTGAATCTGCCCCACCTCATACAGGTCCCTCCTCCGCTCCAGAGTGCATTCCACAGACTATTGAAACACCGGTGGACACGATGCCACCTCTCCCTCCCACTACCGGAGACAATACTATCTTCCAACTGATATATTGACAGATGATCTACTTGAGTCCGATAATCAGGATAGTATTGAAGCTCCACATCCCCAGGATGCTTCAGGTGTTGAAGAGACATGCTTACCATCTCTTCAGAATCAGTTGAGCTGGGGACTCATTCTCTCCTACATGCCTAACAATCTGTTGACCACACTGATCAGATGAGCCAGTCCTCGGATGAGGAATGACAGATTTACACATCTAGAAAAAAAAGAAGAATGGAGGCACACCCCAACTTGGGAACTTAATGGATGATACTCTAGTAACTTCGGGTAATGGAACGACACTCAGCAATTTGTTAGCTGTCTCCTGTCCTAGAACCAGAGGCAGAGGCAAGACCAAGTTGGCTCGTGCCTAGCAGCTTATTTCCTGCAAGCTTTATTTTTTTGTGTTTCATCTTTAATTCATTCTTTTAGGATGCTAGTGTCTGATGTATTGTATGAGTAGAACACCTTTTTTTCGGTCCTCTCATACAATCTCTATGTATCTTTTCAATTTCAATAAAATTATATTGAAATTGAAAAAATATATATATATATATATATATATTAGATTAGATTATACGGCAATCTCAAGCCTTTATTACTTATTATTTGCTTGTATTCCCTCATTATGAATTTCCTATTTTGCTTTATTCGGTTTCATTTTATTTCCGTAGTTGTTTTATTATGTTTTATTTATTTCCTTTATTATGCCTATTGTAGTTGGGTTTAAATACCCCTCATCCTATTAATAATATTGAGATGCTCAATTCCAAATATAAACATGACATTAGAGCCAAACGCTGGATCCAGCAACCGCAGCCCTATGTTCCAACCGTATGTTCCAGCAACCGCAAGCACCAGTCTTCCTACCGCCTGATCCAGCCGCCGACAATTCTATAAACAGTTTCCTGTCTGATTCTAGTTGAGTTTAGTAACCCCTTCTGCCACAAGTTCTGTGGTTTTCTTCTGTCGAGTCTGCAACAGCCATAGTTCTTCTGTCGTTGATAGGTAGAGACCGGAGGATAAAAATGTCTTACATATTGGTTCTTATGTTGTAACCCTACTAGAATTCTTTCATGACTCAAAACCAAAACATCTCCTTTGACTCAGTCAGAATTATGGTGGATTCC